AGCCGAGAGGAGCAGGGCCCGTCTGCCTGGCGGCGCCAGTGTCTGCCCCAGCCCCCAGTTTCTGCGCCAATCTTAAGTTTGTAGCAATTTATGTAGCTTTGATGCCATCACGCAAAATTACAAGTGACCGTCACTGGAAAGGCCTTGCTGGAGATGTGGCTGCCTGGGCTCGGGCAGGGTCTGCCCTGCGTCGCGCCTCGTCCTCAGCGCAGCGCTCGGATTTCTGAGTGAGCTCTTCTCACCGGGCCTGCCGTGGCTCTGCCGGCTCCTGCAGCCTCACCTGGGTTGAGTGTCCGCAGACACTCTGCTGTTGGTCTTTCTGAGTTAATATTTGGGACTATAATCCTAGCATCTCTGTGACTGACCGAGAACATTGTGTCTCCTAATAGTAAAAGTCTTTCCTGTTGTCAAAGTACAAGTTCTTGTAATTTTTCACATTTACTTTGCCTTCATTTGGAATTTCAGTTTTGTACTTTTTTTCTGTATCTCACAATATCCTGCTGCTGTTTAAGACAAGAGGACAGTAGATTGTACTAGTCTCTCTAGGAGTTTTCCTTACAGAGTTGTTTGTCTTGTGGCCACGGAGGACAGAATTATCCACAGAGACTTCTTTGCCAACCTCCTTTTGGGGTTAATATGCTTTCATTTGTTTTCAGTTTGTCACTGTGTCTGTGATACAGCTGTCCTCGTAAGCTGGAATAGTATACCAACATCAGTAACTTCTGAGTGTTTGTTTTTTCTTAAAAAGAGGAGTGAGCTTAAACTCCAGATTTTTCTCACGAAGAATGCATTTGCTGTCTAAAATAATAGTGTTACTTGACAAATTGCTCTGCTTCCTTAGTAATTTTGAAGGGTTGTTCTTAAACTTGAAGGAAATCCTAAGTAAGATTATTCAAAGGTACTTGCAAGTAGTTTGTGTTAAATAGTTCATGTATTATGTGAAGAGTGCTTTCTGTATCCATTATGGTTACTGATGATAGTTTGTTCAAAGCATGTTGTTTACTTTGCAGAATTCTGAGGATGTCCGATGTAAATGCATCTGTCCTCCTTACAAAGACCATTCCGGCAATATTTACAACAAAAATGTTTCACAGAAAGACTGGTGAGTGTGTGTGGCATAAAAAATTATAATAAGCCTTACTGGTGAATAACTTGTTCCATAATGACTATATGTGAATCTCCTGTGGTGGTGACAGGAGAAATTACATCTCTTGCATAACATACTGGAACTTTTCCTTTAAAAGTACTGCAGAATTCAGCTCTAGCAAGGGACAAGACTCAAAATCCATAGTTTTTGCCCTGTCTTCTGTTTTGGTTTCCTTGCTTGCATGTTTATTTACTTTAGACTTGGAAGTAGTAGAAGGGAAAAGGGTGTTGTAAGTTGAAATCGGTGTTTTGAAATGGCTTAAAGGCAAGGGAGCACGGCCATGGAACGAGGACCTGAGAGTATTATTCCCTCTTTGTCCACTCTTCAAACCCATCCTGTCATTTAGAGACTGTTGTTTCTGGAGATTTCTGTTCCTCAGAATTGCAGCCAGAGAGTGCAGTTATATGACACAGCCTGAGCCATCTAACAAGACATTTTTTTCAGAGACAGAGAGGTCTTACATCTCTGTGCTTTAGCAACATGCTCTATTGTATTGTTTAGGCCAACTATGGCATTTGTCAGACTCCTCTCCAAGCTGAGAACTGATGTGCATGGCCAGGAATGAGGGTTTGGGGAAGAAAGGAAGATGACAGTGATTTGTTACGTTGACATAGCTTCCCTGTGTAATTTCACCTTAAGTATCATTGTCTGTGTGAATCATACAAATAAAACACGATGCTTTATAATTGTGTTGATGTTGGAAGTGCTCAGAGATTCTTGGGTCAGCTTATAAAAACATGACATACTTCTTGATGTATTGACTCTTCTTCATATACGTTAAGAATTTATAAAGGACTTTTCAGTCTGTTGAGTAGCAGCAGGTTGGCATCCTGATTATGAAAAGTGAGTAGGCTCACAAAAATAATTATAGGAATAACATTAGTGATACAGATATATGTAGAGCTGTGCCTTGACTTACTAAATTACTTACAGAAGAACTGTGAGAAACAACACTGTAAATTTCAATCTAAACAGGTAAATATAAAATGTTCTGTCCAATCGAAATTACTATTTTTGTCCCACATGATTAACTTAACAACTTAGTCCTACTGTGACAAATTAAGTTGCAGCGATGAAACATACTGGGAGAATTCCAGCTGCAACAGACATTTCAGAGTAGCAGTATTACTGCTTTTATTGTTCATTACCGCTCTGCAAATGAAAATGGATATTTTTCAGTGAGTACTGCTTAGTTTGTGCCTTACTAGCAGGAAACACCCTGTTTCCCTTTAAATCAGTATTGGTACTGATTGAGGAAAAAAATATTTTTGAAGGCTTGACTGATTTTATGGTGACGGGTACTGATGCATACAGAATCTCAAGAATATTTTCTTGTCTTAAATCTCATTTTGTTGATATTATTTCTTAAGTGACCATCTGGGAACATTTTATGGCTTTGATTTTCTATTTGAGATGTCTTCTTGCCACTTCTAAAAGACTTGATTGCTAGTTTATGTGCAATAAACTTGATGAATTTAGTGCTGTACTTGGGTTTCTGCATCAGTGCAAGTGGCTTGATATTGAATAGAGCTGGCTGATGTGCACCATCCTTTAGGTATTTGGATCAGCTACTCATGAGACAAGAGCCAGATCAATTTTTAGTGTCTTTATGAATTCTGTACCACTTACTGCTGGCTTGTCCAGACATAAAATGAAAATTTAATTTTTAATGTTGAACTTACAATGTTCATCATGATACTCTTATTTAGATGCTTCAGTTCTTTCACTTGGAGTGGACTGTTCTTTGGCTTCAGACTGGCAAACAGCACGTTATGCTAACATCAATATGGGCTGGGGTGGTTTAACACCAATAAAAGCATTCACCCTTCTGGACTCAGGTTTGGAACCATTGCAGGCAATCCCATCCTGATGGACAACGTGCTAGGCAAGCATAGTGGTGCCGACGGACCTACAGGGGTAAAGAACCCACTTGGAAAGTGTTGATGTTTGTAATTTGTACTTTGAAAGTACTGGTGTACAGAGGCTGACTGCAGTGGTAGTCACGGATGTGAAGGGAGGGAGGACAGCCTGTCTACAAGCTGTGTGAACTGGAAACGCGTCTGTGCAGAAGCTGCCCTTCTGACTGGCCTAGCTTGCCTTGGAAGAACTGCTTCCTTGGTGCTGTCGCTGTGGGCACAAGGGAGAACACGGTAATGTAGAGGCAGTCGAGTGGGAAAATTGTTTAGAAAAGGATCAGCCTTGTCTACATTTTCCTCTAAAACTGCCATGGAATCACAGTCTGAGGAAACGCATCATCAAAATTCTAAGGTTCTGATAGATTTTACACTTCCTAGTAACTTGAAACACTGAGCTGGAGGAAAAAAAAAGCTGATATTAATATTTGATATATTCACAGTAACAGACTGACTGCTGGACTTAAGCTGCATACAAGCTTTCTACTATACTTGTGCAGCATATTGATAAAAGCTTTCAATCATATGAACAGAAATTGTGTAGATTATAACTTGCATATATTTTTTATTTCGTAGCTTGAATGCTGTACTCCTCCACAGAGGAGAATGTAATTTTACTTTCAAATAAATGAGAAAAGTAAGCCTTCTGCTACCCACCAGAGGATGTGACTTGACACTCAATAGTTTTAGTTGTGAAGAAGACATACAAAGAGAAGAGATGAGCTGGTGTCTGGCCTTGTGTTTGCAGTGTCATAATCTGGCCCAGTAGAGTGTTGAATCCTAGGCTGCTGCTGTCACTTCAGGTCTTTTGTTTCATTACCTGCTTCTGACTGTGCTAACACTGAGTTAACTAGGATAAAGGTGAAACATGATTTTTGTTCTGTCAGTGCTCTGTAGGGGCCCTGGGATGTGAACTCTGAACAACCAACCTGTGTCAGTGAAAAGACCAAAATTACCTAAGTTAGTAGTGGAAGCAGTTGTGTCATGGCAGCTGGATTTCAGTGCTGTGGTATAGAGTGCCCGTAAGATTGTCAGCCAGGCTTTTTGGCATTGGTCTGACTTATATTTTGTAATCTTTTAAGTCAAATTATGCTTTCGCATCCGAGTACGGTGCCGAAAACGGAAAGCTATTTATTCACTATCTTGTTGCTTAGAGAAACAACCCATCTGACTTTTTTTTTCTTCAGTGCTTCTAACTTGTGACAGCAAGAAAAAAGGGACTTCTGTTCATGAACACCAAAGAGAGGTTAATCTCCCTTCAGATAGTGGAAGGATAGAATAAGGTTCTTTTGAGTATGATGAAGAAAGAAGCGTATGGCTGGAATTTACTTTCATCCATGATGTCAGTGTCAAATGATGCATTCATGCTGGGATTCAAATCCTTGGACTTGTTATGCTAACAGCTTTAATACTTTCACTGAAAAATGAAAACATTGTACTGAGTTAGAAAGGTCTTAAAACTTGTTTAGCAGCTTGTCAATAGCTGAATTTCTTGTTTAAGTAAAATAATTGTGGAGTAGTGCTTTATTTATTTTAAACTTTGATACCTATAATTTAGAACAGCTGAACTTAAGCAAAGGTGGCTTCTCAGCTCATGCAGCTGGGGTCTGCATGCCTAATGAAACAGGTAAGCGAAAAACAGCTCAGAACTGACTGGGCAGTTTCTGTCTTTCTTCAGTGATTGTCTGCATGTGGTTGAGCCTATGCCTGTCCCTGGACCTGATGTAGAAGCATACTGTTTACGTTGTGAATGCAAATATGAAGAGAGAAGCTCTGTCACAATTAAGGTAAACAATGTAATTCTGTTGGCATATATTAAATACTTCAACTGATTAGTAAATATGTCTGTTGTCTTTTAGAGAAATACTCTTTTTGAAGGGAAAATTTTTCTAAAGCAACCTAAGATTTAACTTTTTTTCATGATAGTTGCTCATAATTTATCTTGAGTAGTAACAACAGCTCAAGCTGTAGCTGAAGGAGCGGGCTTGAGATCTTTTATTGAAGATCTCCACTTTTGAGATTAAGCTTTACACTGTGCTTAAATTCTGAGTGTTCTAGGACATTTTATCAAGCTTTGGACTGTATGTTTTTGGTATTACTTTATAGGGACGCTCGTTATTCAGCTGTTTTACTTGCTTTTCTTTGTAGGTTGGCAAGCTAAAAAGAGCAATGTTGTCTGTTTGCTCTAACAAATGATTTCTGTATTCTTCATATTCTTATCCTAATGGAGCCATTGAGACCTAGGCTGAATAGATTGTGCAGTGCATCTTTTCTTCTTTTATGACACAGACTCCTTTTTTTGGTCTTTTAGAAATTCGGTATTTCTTTTCGCCTTCCCATTTTTTTTCTTAGTGACTGTTTGAATGCAGTTCTGGGCTAGAGAATGGAGACCATGCAGGAACCCTCAAATTTGTCACCCCAGTTTAATGGCCAAACTGAACAGTTGTCTTGGTTAAGGTGAGATTTATAATACCAAGTCGTTTTAAGAGGGATAGCATAAGATTTTTAGCCAGGTCTCACTAAGCGAAACTGTTTCCAGCTAGCATCTGTCTGCCCCAAACCCTTTTAATACCAGGTCATAGTTTAGCATTTTTTCTCTGTTCATGGGTTTTAAGTCATTTGGTGACGCTACCAAAGACTCATCACAAACTTTGCATTTACTCTTCTTTTTGTCCTTGCTGCCTGCTGAGAGATTGTCAGGGGAATGTTACAATTCTGGCATAAACTGTGCTTGCATTGTGTAGGTTACAATCATCATATACCTGTCTATTTTGGGCCTACTTCTTCTGTACATGGTGTACCTTACACTGGTGGAACCTATACTGAAGAGACGTCTTTTTGGACATTCACAGCTCATACAAAGTGATGAAGACATTGGGGTGAGTCCACCAGAGTGCTTCTGTACTTGAGTTAACATAAAGACTGGGATGATTAGTTGTTAAATAACTATTTGAGATGAGCAGCTTTTTTTGCCAGGCAGTGTAAATGCTTTTCCTGAAGCGAGAGGAAAAGAAAGCTGTGTGACTTCTGTGAAGCCTCTCTCTCATTTTTCACTGGGCTAGAAAGTAGTAAGATGAGGACTGCTTCAGTTATCCCAACTCTAGACACAGTGAGACACTTCAGTACTTCATCAGTGTGGATAGGGAGTACTGGTTGGTGGAAGTAGGTCATCCGTGTATTGAAGGGCGACTTAGAATAATATAAAAATATGGCTTTGCATCTGTTAAATCTGTGTGCATCTGAACCTGATGAGTCTGCATGCCTTGGAGAAGTATTGCTATAAAGTACTGTGAGGAAAGATTTCTAAAATGGCAGCTGGGTTGGTGGTAAGGTATCAGTGTTGAACCATGCAAACTTATAAAAAAATTCTGACGTCTCAGCATCAATGTACTTTCTATATTGAGCCTTCAAGCAGCAGGGCTTTTACTGATGAAGTATGCTTCAGGTGTGGCGTAGCCTTAAAAAGAATTTCTGAAACCAGACCCAGAGTGTGAAACAGGAAGATTGCTGTCTGCTTAACCTAAACCTTTCAGCAGACACAAGCACTTTATTACTGTTGAAGTAAATGGGAGCTAGTCAAAAAGACTTACAACATTTATTAGTGTCTTAAAATAGAATTGTTAAGAATATTTTCATCATTCCTTCAAATAAATAGGAAGTTAACAGGAGAAGATAAATGTTTGTTCTCAGTGAAACAAAATTATGATGGCAACACTTCTAAAAATCTGTTTAAAAGCCCTGTAGTTCTGCCTGCCTGTTGCTTCAGTGGCTTCATAGATCTGAAGGTATCAAAACCAGTCAATGCTATGCTGTATCCTGTGTTTCTGTGGATTTTAATGTGAGTTGCACTCAGTTTCTCCAGGTTGTTTTTGGTTTTGGAATGACAACTGTCATTGCTAGTAAACTGAGGAAAAGCATATTCTTTAGTTCTACATTTTTTAATCAACAGTGGCCACATCAGCCATCTTGACTTAAAAAGGTGTTTCTATTCTGCAGGGGGGGATTTTAAGTATTCAAAGTCAAGCATTTTTAGATAATAGCTTTCATCAGCTCTGCCTTCTTTATTTACCTTGATTTCACAACAAAAATATGTGATTGTTACCCAAGTTTGAGCTAACATTGTCTGGAGTGAAGGTTCTTTGGACAGTGGTATACTATTGCTGTTATGTCCCACTGTTTCTGCACTTCTTTGTATATTACATGGCGACATATTTCAAATGTCTTTGACATCTTAAGATTTTCCCAGTCACTTCTAGGAGGATATTGTTTTGTTTTGTTTTTTTGAAAGGAGGGATATGAAAGACCTTTTTCTGTCTGCATTCTTACAGCAAATTGGACAGATTCCTACTTGAATTAAATGAACTTGTGTTGTATGCTATACCTCAGACAAATTATTTCTTTTTTATACCTTAGATAAATTATATTAATACCTCCAAATCTGAGATAGAATCTTCTGATTGTAGGTGGAAGAAGTGAAGTAAGTCCTGTGGCAGAGCTCAGGCTAACTGCAGAATGAATTTACCTTAAAATCTGGATCCATCTTAAACCAATTTCTTGTTGTGTTGTAACTGTTACTGTGACCATTACCTGTGCTTGTGGAATCACTAGTGCTTATGTCTGCAGTAGTACTTGGAACAAAAAGGACTTCAGGTCCTTGCTGAGTTCATATTGCTCCTTTCCTGTTTATCCTCCTTCTTTGACAGTGAATGGAAATAATTTAGGGTCCCTGATAACTTATCTCCATCTCTGCCTTCCCTCTTGCAAGTTCTTGAGGTATTGATCCTTGTCACACTTTGGAAATACCATGTGCAATCGATTTTGCTGCTGAATTTCAAGCCAGTATATTTACTCTTTCTCATTGCCCATTGATGAATGTAAGCCACTTCCATAGACCTCTTTCCTCTTAAAGTCTTTTTTCCCCTTGTTGTCAACATAGAAATTGACAGTAGCTAGCCTTTGAGCTGAGATTGTTGTTTATCAGGAAAGCCACTACCACCTATGTCTTGTGCTTGAGCTTGTCTTATGCTCTCCCTTCCACTATCTATTTTATGGTAGAAATGTGTTGCTGTTGTGATTTTGTTTTGCTGTGAACAAAGTGATTTGTCACCTGTTAACTGCCCATTCTAGATATATCCAACTGCATAATTTTTTATGGTGAGATTCTAGCTCTTTAGGTCAGGGATTGTCTCTTCTTCTCTATGAGCATTTTTCTTAGCCCAGAGAGGCTCATGTGTGGCTTTGGGACTTGTATGCATCACTTTGGTGAGTATCATTGATAATCTCTGTATTACTAAGAATTATCATTGAGCTACTCTACACAGTCCTGTCACAAATAAAGTATCCATTAATGTAAATGTCTTCAAAAGTGTTCTGAAAAAAAAAAACAGTCAGTTATTTAACACAGGACATAATTATGTTCTTTTTCATTATGGATTGTTTGTATATTGCTTTCTGACATAGCTTTAGTAACAACTAAACATTTAGTAAACAAACAGTTTGATAGCCAAATAAGAAGTTCAGTTCCAACTCTTACTGTTTATAACTTGGTTATATTTACTAGAAGAAAATAAAGATTTGCAGGTACTGTTAGAAAACAGAGTAAATATTAAACAAGCACTCAGTTATTGTTGAGCTCTGTCACTTACACAGCTGTATTGACACTGTGCTTTTAGACAGCTCAGTACAATAGGTTTAGTTTGGTAAACATCAGAGTGTGTTGGTTTTATATAGAAGCTGTGTGTGAACATCCTGAACTGCCTGACGGGAAATGGCCAAGAGCTGGCAGAGAACTGACTTTGAATTCAGTTTTAAAGTGAAGTGCATTCATGACACTAACAGAAGGCTCCCATTGCCCGGGTCCGTTCTAGGCTTCTGTCCCACCAGCTGCTAATGATTGCAAGGCTGGGGTTCTGATCTTGCAGCTCACCATGATGTCTGTGTGCAGCAGATAGTTGTTTGACAGCACAATGAAATTTGGTCTATTTGGGAAACCTGTGGAAGTTACTTTAAATGAGTAATTTAAGTACAGTTCTAACCATTCGAAAACTTGCTTGGTCATTATTACTGACCAGCTTGTTGAAACAGCTTGTTTACCTTATAAAACAAACAAACAAAAAAACCCCCAAATCCCTTGGAATGTAACAATAAAAAAGACTAATGTAATTGTTCAGTGGAATTGTTGAGATCTAACTAATGATTTTTGCCATTCCAGGATCACCAGCCTTTTGCAAATGCACATGATGTGCTGGCTCGTTCTCGGAGCCGCGCCAATGTATTGAACAAAGTGGAGTATGCCCAGCAGCGTTGGAAGTTACAGGTCCAAGAGCAACGCAAATCTGTATTTGACCGTCATGTTGTGCTGAGTTAATTGTGTCTCAGTAAAATAATTCTGGGGAGGTAAAGTGGACTAATTTAAAGAGCTGACTTACGTCTTCCTGCCAATTCAGAAGGGTTTTCTTGAATGGTTCATTATTGATTTTTAAAAAAATGAAGAAAAAAATATTTGAACTTTGAAGGAATGTGCTGGAGGGGAAGCAGTTTAAAAAGATTGGTTAACCAAAAGCTAAAATCTTTACATTTTCAAATGGCTTTTACTAACAAAAACTGAAAAGAAACAAACCCTAAGATACCTTGTTTTGCCACTGTGGTACCTTATTTACAGTTGTGACTTTATGGTGGTTTTTAACTATATATTTCTCAATACTATTTATGTGGTTAAAAAGTACCTGGGAACACAATAATTACTCACTAATCACTTTATGTAAAGACCTTTTGTAAATATACATGGGTTTTCTGCTGACTAATGCTAGGTACTAGAAATCTAAATCTTGCAGTGTGGTTTTCATATCAGAGAATGAAATCCTTATTGGCTGTATTCATCATTTGGTTTCTTGCACTCATACTTTCAAGATGCTTGTATGTCAAGTGATGTTTGCAGATTTAAGGCAAAACTTAAATGGACACTGACTCTTTGAGCTGCATACTTAAAGTACTGTGATGTAGATAAACTCAAATGCAGTGCTATCAAGACAGTGTTGGCATTTTGTTCTATTTTGCTTTAATAGCTTAATATATTGTATGTGTATGATATCTCTTTAAAAAAAATCTTTTCCCTTTCTTTTCATGGGTAAAGTCTCAGGAGTTAGTATATGATGAAATATTTATTATAAAAAAAATCTTTCTGCATTTGTCTGGATTGATTGTGTAAGGCACATACTTTCTCTAGCACCTGTAATCTTGGGAGTTAGGTGTATTTTTTTATCTGTGATTCTGTACTCATCTCTCTTAAAAGGTATACAGTTGCTAGATGACTGACTTTCATATATCCCCTTTGGAATGTAACAATTAAAGATAAAACTGATTTTTGAAAAATGGATGTGCATGATCTGTATGTCATCATTTTTTTCCCTTATTACCCTGCATGTAAATTCCATCTATAAAAGCACTTCTCTGAAAATGCTTCGGAGTAGAAATACGCCCTTGTTTGGTGCTTAGATAAAGGAAAGAAACGCTCACCAAACTGCTAATTTAAAGTTTTTAATCGCTGACTCAAATTTAGCTATGCATATGCTGTGACATTGTTGTCTTACAGAGTTTTCAGTTCCAGTGTGGAAGGAAATGGTGGATGGAACAGTACTGTATGTTGCTGGGTGCAATTTTGGCTTGCTTAGTCCACAGCCTGGGGGACAGAGTAGCGTGGGAAATAAACTGTACCTGTACACATAGCTCGGCCATATCAGGCCTGCAAACAGTTGCCCAATAACAACATTTGCACTGACTGCAGTTCTTCTGCAGATACAGAGATTCTTTCCTTTGTCAATCCTGTAGTCTTCCAAAAACTGAGTTAATCTGGAGGGAATTATAATGGGTGGCTAATTGGTGGAGGCACAGCATTCTTTCTTTACATTAAAAAAAAAAAAAAAGGCACAAGATGGATTGACAGGACAAAAAAAAACCCACAGCCAGACTTGATTTCAGTTACTGTGTTCAACATCCCACCCTGGTGAGTCAATAACCGGTTGTGAGAGTGATGTACCTCAGGTCCCCTAAAGAAAAATAATGTAGCTTGTTTGTTGAATACATGCCTGTCTGCCAGTTCAGGTAGATATTCTACCTGTTGGCTGCATTTCTGATGAGGCCTGAAGCTGGTGTGGGAAGGAGGATGCAGAATACAGCATTGTTGTGGCCCCACACAAGGGCAGCAGAAGCAGAATGCTTTCTTTGATGGCTGACAGTCCCAGGAAGACAAGACTGGGTGTTATGTAGCTCCCTCAGTAGCAGATCAAGTGTTTCTAATCTTACTGTGTCTTCTGAAAGTTTTAAGCTAAACTGGTTTGGTTTTGATTTTTTGTGTGGTTTTACTTTGATCGATAGAAGGGCCAAATGCTGAGATAGTCTAAAGTGTCAAGGTAATCCTGTAAAACGTGGAAGTTTTGAAGTTAGGTGTCCTATTTCCTTGCACCTGTACAATTGGACAGCTATATACTGATATATGTAGCATCTATATACCTATATATATTTGATTATACAGACTGATTGCTCCATACTGTGTTTCTAAGTTTAAGTGGAAGTTTAAAGCATTTATCTTGCTACTGATTGCTCACTGTTTTCAAATCTTGTCTACCTCCATAAATGCTTTCTTAGAGACTTTTTATGTGGTGTTATACTTCTTAACACTAAAGGAATTTCCCAAAATTGCTGGGATAACAAAGATTACATTTGAGGGTATTAAGCTAACTAATCTGTGTCCTCATCTCTAATCTGGAGACAAATTCATCACAAGTTTCTCCTAAAGAAATGCTTATTTTCTGTGTTTAAAATGAAGCTATGAAATTTAATTTGTTTATGTCTCGATGGTAAATATTTAACTAAATTCTAGCTGATTGTTATATTTAGACTTTAAAGTAGGAAATGCCAATAAATGAAAATACTGATTTAGTAAACTGTAACAGAATACATACAGGAAGTAAACAAAGTACATTCCTAGTTACTTTTTCAGGTAATCTAATTGTGTTCACTACAATTTTAAAATTTCTAGCCCTTAATGCCAGGTTTTGTTGCCATCATAGCTGTGGGGTGGGTGGAAAAGCCAAACCAGAAATGAGCAGATCTAACTGTAAGCTACTTTGCATGTTGTCAATTGACTATAAATTGCAGCCGTCATTGACTCAGCAGAACAAGCTACATAATTCAGGTAAGAGACTTGCATATTGCTGTATCTGGCAACAGATCTTCACTGAATATCAATGTTTTTGTGAATCACTTCTGCCAGCTATTCAGTAACAGTGCTTCCATAGCTTTTTAATGAATCATGTTTAATATCATCTCTTATTTAATAACGTGTAAGATAAATGGAATGTTAACTTTTTTTTTTAAATATCATTCAGATATCTTCAGGTATTATTCATCAGTCTTAAAATAGCACGTCTTGTTTCCTTGGATTTTACTTTCATCTGAAGATTGGTGAGTCCCTAGTCTAAAAGGAAGACAATCCTAACACTTGCATTTTGTGCTTCGTGCGGGCAGTAAGGCAGCAGATAACTGTTTTATGTAACACTATTATGCAGCAGAAGTGTCAGTACTAAGCAACAAATACTGCAAGTATCTCTTCTTGAAGGGTTGTGTTGGTTTTGGTTTCTTGCTCTATAGTGATGTTTTGCTATGAAGTTTTTTTGCTATGTAACAGACTTTTCCTCAGACAATGTTTTTAGGTTGTTAGCGGTAGAAAGTTTTCAGACGATAACCCAACCTGTGTAAGTAGAAAAGGGAAAGATGACTGTCTACTATTTTCATTTTATAACAATCACCTCTGATTTTCTGCATGTATATTAATGTAAAATGGATGTTTGTTCATAATTTCAGCCTACCTACAGAAGTTCCTGTTTAAGATGCATGTGACTTTCTCTCTTGTCTAACAGCACGCTGTAAATTAATTCTTAACTCCTAGGATTTCTGTTGTGAGACCTATGTGCATTAGAAAAAGAGACATCACTGAATACAGAAGCATTTTGATAGAATATGTTGTGAAGATAGGTTCATATTGAGTAACATTTCTCTCTGTATTGAACATGGCAGGTGTGAGGTCATGAGAAAAACGTTAAAATATCCCCATATCCTTGTGAAGGATTAAGGGGATCCCATTTATGTTATGGAACCACAGTTGGAACATTTGAAGCTTTGCAAGGTTTTTGTGAGTATGGAATCTAGATGTTTGTAGTAACCTAGTTTAATGTTGAGGTGTGTGTTCCATTTTAGAGGCTGTAATATAACCTTAGACAGCAATGTATAGATGTGGAAGTGGATGGTGAATAAGAGAATTTTTGGACAGATTCTATGTAGGCAAGTATTGCTTGCAATCCGTGAGGATGGATCACAGTAATTCTGTAAAAATTAACTAGTTATTTAAAATTTATTTTTAAGTAACTATTAGGTAACAATCATTACAGTTATGCTGATATTTAGATGTTTAAATAATGATAATGGGAAGGCACTATAATGTAGCTTCCTATAAAACACTGCAAGATTATCTGTTTAATAAATATGTAAGTGTCATTTGAGTTGTTATGCCTGCTGTAATGCTGCTCTGAAGAGAGGGTATGTGGTTTTAGTAAGCCAGTCCGAGTTACAGGTTTCTAGCAGTGCCCCAACAACTGTGTGCAGACCCTTCTTAGTAAAATAATTTATAATTGGAACAATATTATTAGGACATGATTTTCTTCCTTTAATAAACAGATTATTTCATAATCGTCTATGAGTAGGATTGTATTTAGTATTTCGTATCTGTGTTTAATCTGCAGGTGAGTGCAGAAGCAGCATGAGGACCCAAAGAGATGTTAGGTTTAGCAGAAATTTGTCCTCTAAACTTTTTGTAAACCTTTTAATCTAGAATGGATGTAATACCTGACAGACATAAAATTAAGATTAAGGTCCATTCCCTGCACAAGTTTTCCCATCTGGTTAAGACAGTATAGTGAATGAGACATTAAATGAGTAGAGAGGAAAAAATAATTTGTCTTTGAAGGCTTTTTGGTATGGACAGGGAGTCTGTTACTGGAACTGTAGATTTAATTTTTTTCAGGGAGGAGAAGGGATGGAGAGAATGCCTCAGATGTTGGCCTACTTTGTTTATTGTCTGTAGAGGTGTAAGTTTTGATGGATTTGGAGCAAGCTAGACCTATGTGGAGTACATAAATGTAGATTCTCTTAATTTCTAAGGCTGAGGTGGAACCAGACTGCTGTTTCCTTTAGGAAGCGTTAGTGGCTTTATTTTCTTAAAATCTGTTACGAATTGCTTTAATCGGTGTTGCTGACTTGTGCTTTCCTGCTTTTTCAAATGGGACATTGTTTGCTCTATTAGCGCTCTTCCAACACCATTCTGAAATGACACAAATGCATTAAAAGTCTCTTCTGGAAAATTCTAGTAATGCCAAGTGTTGGTAAGTCCAGGTGAGTTTTTTCTGCTGCTCAGTATGAGTTGTTTGAACTATGTGTAATTATGCATTTCCAGGTTAAATGCAGAATCCAGTGGATGGCAAAAGCTACCGTAACCTCGTGGACAAGTTGTCCATCTGTACTGAGGCTCAGTGCATACAGCTGGCTAGGCCTTTCTGTGCCGACCCAGTGGTCACGTTTCATGTGTACCCAGAAACACCAAACCAGGTCACTTGCTCTGAAGATTTGTCGTTCCTTCCTTTCATGTCTGAGCATCTCATCGCGGAGAACTTCTACAGTGAGCCATGCACCTTTCGCTACCAAATGCCCCATTCCAATTACCGCAGAAGTGAGTACTCCTATGGGCCAGCTTTCATCAGAAAGAGGAATGAGAGGGAAAGACAGAGGGTTAAATGTGTCAATGAAGGCTATGCTAAACTGAGGCATCACCTACCTAAGGAGTACTTGGAGAAACGGCTCAGCAAAGTAGAGACGCTCCGTGCTGCAATAAAATACATTAGCTACCTACAGTCTGTTCTGTATGGTGATTCTGTGGTGGCAGAAAAAAATGTCACAGAGCCAAGCCAAGCACCTAAAGCAATTAACAAACAAAACCAGTTTTTGAAGACTACCTAAACTGTTCCAAACCAAGCAAAAGGTATCTTGTCTGGAAACCACTATATTATTAATGACGTGCATGTTCTAGGCACATCTTAGGACCAGATCATAGCACGCATCAGTGCCAGCCCACACAGAAGAGTTTTAATTTTGCAGATAGTAACTACACTTAGATATGAAAGAGACAACTAAGGAAATCTCATCTGAATGGCCTAAGTTAGTTAATTCAGGGAAATCCGAAAACATTTCTAAAATTGTCACAAAACCAAAAATGTAATATCTATACATATGAAGTAACTGTATGTATCATGACAACCTGTATGCTTTAAAATAAAATCTTTCCACTGATGAGACTGAGATTCTTCTCATTTTCTGTAATGTTACTGTTGGTTTTTTTAAAAGATTTTTTTATCTACTTGCCAGTGTTTCTTTTAAAAGGCCTTTTAAAATGTTCTCAGGAATATTGTTAGATGCCAACAGAAAGGATAACTTAACTTAGAAGGGGGAAAATAAAAAGAGGAGAGCAGCAGCTCTCTGAAACATGGTTATTGAACATAGGAAGAGCATAACGTCTTACAAGTGCTGTCCTGTCCTTTTCTTATTAATGAATATTTTAATCCCATTAAAAACTGTTGACTTAGCCTAATTTCTATTGAAAATTGGATTCTTCTTCAGCTGTCAGTGCCCTTAAAAATTACTAGGACTGCTCACATAATAAACAGTATAAAGAGAGTTGGCAAGGTCTTGACCTTGGGGAGAAAAAAAAAAAATAATCCTGCAACAGAAATTTTTTGGGGACTTTTCACTAATGATGGTTGAGAACTGGGGTGGTCATCCCCAATTTCGCAGTCTGCTCCTCTGTACTACTGAAGGTTTCTGCTAAGTGGTATAGAATAGATTTATGTGAAGATGGTGAAGAGTTTAGCTTGTAACTGGCAGAGTGTTCTTAACATCTGCTGTGTGTAAGGGAATTGTATTATTGATATTAAACAACAATTCTGCTGACAGCATGAGAGCAGGTGGTCTGGGGGTGCAGCAGAATGTACAGGAAATAGTTACAGATTCCCTAAGTGCTGTATGCTTGTCCCTAATTGCAGTCATCCCCTCTTAATAGCAACCAAGTATTCCTCCTCCCAAAACAAACAAAAAAAAATTAACATTTGTTAAGGAGAAAATGAAGATTAGGGATCACAGCAGAGATTAATAGGTGGATTTCTGCATTGTATTCTGGCCTGTTTTTGACATGCACTTTGCAGGAAAAGGGTAGAATTCATTAATTCTTCCCCTTTATTGTGAAAAGGGAAAGTTTGTGAAGCGATTTATCGACCTCAGTTTGTCAGCTTCAACCTTTCTGTCTGCATTTCAAACCAATTCGTTTGTCACACTCTGTTGTGGTGGGCATTTTTTTCTAAATCTAAACTGTAGCTTCATATCATGCTATTTTTTGCCCTGCAATAGTAGGCAGAAAGCCTAGAGGACACTACTCCCTCTTACACTCCCTTCTCTGCCCCGGCGGTCTTTCAATGCAATATCTAGATCGATGGGGAGCTGAAAATAGAGCAGATGCGTGGCAGACAAATGGTCCTCTCTCTAGTCACATTCCACCGCTTTCTAACCGGTAAGGTCAGGGCGTCCCATCCTGGTAGTAACAACTCTGGCAACGACCGTAGCAACTAGGAAACACTGGCAGCAAATGGCTTCCTGCGTCAAATGGGCGAAAGGGCAAGATTTCTGCATTGGGAGTAAATCCAAATTGACCAGATGTAGCATTAGCGATAGCTGGTAAGTATGAAACACTGCTGTCTCAAAGTCCTTGGAATTACCCAGGGGGAAAAAAAAAATCTCAAAGTGTTTTGGAATTGCGTTTGTTAGTGCCCTGCTTTATACAGAAATAGAGGGGACCTGGCTCTCAGCAGTAACAGCACTGAATGGGTTTAAAATGTGCTTTAATACAGAATTGATGGCTGCATTTCTTTGCAAAGTATTACTGATTCTGTCGTGTTTTGGTTTATAATAGGGGAGTTTGTGTAGTTGTGAAACAAGTGAATATATTGTGTTGATTTGCTGACTTAAAGACACATTTTTCAGCAGTTAATCCACTCTTCTTGCTGGGTTTGGTGTGCTAGTTTTCTGAAATTACGTATCTCTGGAAGTCCTCGTGAAAAAGACCCCCGTGTCACAAGATAAGAGACAAAATAACATTTGAATATAATATGAGTGCTTAGAATTTATTTTACAAAATACAGTTTAAGTGCCTACTTTACATGTTGTTGAATTCTCATGCAAATTTTACCCTAAGCATGCTAAATATTTCTAAGCAATATTAAAAAAAAAAAAAAGAATGGAAGCTTGTCTACTACATCTTGTCAGAGTACCAGCATCACGTCATCCATCTTACCATGACAGCCTCTGAATAGTTATCACTTGTCAAATCTGAGCGTCTCATTCTTTCTCATGGCAAGCCATAATCCTACTGTTACAAAACATGACAGGACAGCTGAAAGATCAAAATATTTCCTCTTAATACGTCCCTATAAATAAAACAAGTAACAGGCAACTGCAATGTAACATCACGTTCAAAACTGATCACGTTTACTCAGTCAGTTTACTCGGCTTGTAAAATAGGGAAGGTTTGGCTGGGACTGCGTACAAGAAAGCTTTAAAGGAGAGTGTAGGTATAAGGAGAGAGAGCTGGATATTGCGGAGGGAAACAAAAGTTGGAGGGAGGTGAAAGCTATTGCTCTCCTGGGGATTTTCACAGCATTTCTAGTTTCCTTGGGCGTTTCTGTCTCTCTGCCAGCTCAGGATTGATTTGGGTGCCTGAAGATCACTGAAGTCAGTGATACAGGTTCATCTGACCAAATGCCAGTCTGACTATTTTCAATTAATTCTTTTTAGTTAAAAATCATTAATAAAAGCTACCGAGTTCTTGAGGCACACTGGAAAGCATTTGCTCGTCTTGGAAAATGCCAGTACATCGTCTCTTTTCTACCAACAGATCACGACTGAGGCCTGGAGGTAGCTGCTTTTGCAGGAATGGCTCGTTCGGGGGGGTTCCTGCCTAGGGGTCACAGGTATTGCAGCGCGATGCCAGCCCTGGACAAGGTCTCGTGCCCCAGTGTCGTACCTACTGCCAGCCCCTGCCGCGGGAGCTCTGCTGTCGTGCATCCCGCCTGCATCGCCGAGCCCCTCACCCCCCAGAGGTAACGTCAATTTCTTGTTTGAGTCTGCGATCTGTTCTTTTTCATGATACCTAATAGGATAAAGCAGACTGGTGTGTCAGATTAATAAATTAGCAGCTTGAACATCATTTGAGCTTTCCCCTCCCCTGCACTGGCCGTTTTTTAGATGGTATTAACCAAAGTGATTTGCTACCCTGGAGATTACGAAAAGCAAAGCCCGCGTAAACCTCCTATCAAAGAAACATTCCTTTAATGTTATTTGGGTAAATAAAAGCATCTTGCGTTAGCAGCCATCTTCTGTGAAGTGTTTCTAATGCTTTGAGACGGGATTATTTTTCCTGTTCTGAACTGGAACCTGTCATAAACCAGCAACTGTGTTGTTTACTTTTCTACTTTTCTGTTCCCTGAATGCCCCAGTGTAAACCATCAGCTTCAGCGCTCTCGAGTGCACCTATGCTGTGCTCTGTGCTGGAAATGGATCCTTTCTCCTGATCTTAAGGGTTGTATTGGCTTGCCATGTAAACAGCAAAAGGTAATGCTGGCCCCGGATTCCAGTGTACTCCTGGCTCACTTCGTCTAAACCCCAAACCAAAGAAATCTGGGTAAAAACAGGCACTGATGGTTTTTTTTCCCCAAGAGCAAGGAACTTTCCCAGCACAAGCAAGTTTTCTGTTTCTTCCCACATGCTTTGGCCTGTGGAAGTGCTACAAAATGAGGTGCAGTGATCCAGTTCTTAAATCTTACAAGATAATTTTTTTTTTTTGTGACCTACAGGAGCTGTTTCTCCCAGTGCTGACTCATTTTCTTTTCTTCAAGGTGCCAATGGATTAGCCACTGTCTCCCCTCCCCTGGCCCAGCGTGGAAGAGGCTGAGCACATCGGGGAGATCCCTGGGCTTAGACAACAATGTCCCTGTGCTGGTCAGAGGGGAACGAGATGGATTTTATTACCGTGGTACAGTAAAAGAGGAGATAGAGGTGAGTGTCGGTTGCTGTGCAGTAGTCGTGGGTATGTATAACAGGGTGTCCAGCCCACCAGCAGTACTCATGCACCACCTGAATTTTGTGTAGGCGTTTTGATTTCAGCTGATGCACGAATTAGAGAACAGATCACCAGGACAGTTGATGCTCATGGTTATGTTGATTTGTAAAGGTCCTGATGTGCCCGATTCCAGGCTGTGCTCACATCCTGCTGCCTGGCACGCTGGGTGAGCCTCTTGGACGCAGCACAGCCTCAGGCACCAATAAACTAATAATGATCAGATCCTTGCTCTGCTCAGCCTTCTGTACTGAGGCCATTTCTAGGAGAAAGCAGGCGTGTTTCAGGGATCCTCATCTTGTGCAGGAGATGGGTGCCCCCCAAACTGCCAGTTCCTGGTGAAAGCAGTGTTGTTGTGCACCTTGCAAGAGCAGGCCCTCTGCTTCTGCTGGCGCTGGGCGCTGTTGTGAGCAGTGTACCCGCTACTGTTTTGTGTACACACTGAACCATCAATAGCACAGGAAAAGCCTTCGTGTTTTATGTACACACTTCCAGCTTGAGTCAGCTACAGACCAATGGCTCGGTGTCTTTTCAGAAATATTAGTGAAAGCGTCAATTCATTAGTTTGTTAGCACTTCAAACTTAACAGAAAAAAGAGCCTATTCTTTCTCAAGAACAGGGAAGTACCTCGTTTCACTGTTGATGGAAAGCCTCTTGACAGGCCTTAATTCAAAAGAAAATAAAAATTCCCAACAACCCCCTCCAAGAAGCAGAGTTAGTGTTATATGTAATGAGGAAGGACTTGGGCATGACTGAAGAACAGGTCTGAATGGCTTCAGTGTCCCTTGTTATCTGGTGC